AAACTTTGACGGTATAAATCAGTTGACTTTTTTTATATATAATTTATTTATTATATTAATGTTCAATTACAAATTAATTTTGTGCGCACGACCAATTAGAATCAAACTTAGAATTTCGGGACCATATATCAATTGGTTTTTAAATTGAAGGACCAAAAAGAAATTAGTTCAAATTTGAAGGACCCAAATAAATTATTAAATTAAAAAAAAAGAAAAAGAAAAAAAAAAGTGGGGGGCAAAAGGCAAAATGATAAGTTGGGAAGGGCATTATTGAAATATCAAAAGGTCAGCCGAAGATGACTACAAGGCCCATATCTATTATCCAACTTAAGGCCCAAACTGTCTTTTCAAACTTAAGAAGCCCATTTCTGTACCGCCTCACGCATCACTATATATAAAGATCGAGGTTTTAGGGTTCTTGCTCTCTCCCTCTGTTGCGGTCGTGCGCTCCTTTCTTTTGGCTTGCGCAGGATTTCACTCTTTCGTCTGTTCCTTTCCAGAATTTTTCAAGATGGTTAGTTCTCATTCCTCTTCATCTTGATTAATTGTATTGTGTTTCCCGTTTTGGTTATGTTCGAGATTTGTGTGGCCGCGAAGTTGAATGTGTTTAGGTGTATTTTATGCTCTGCACTTTTGCTTGAGACACTTCGAGTGTGTTGATTCATCTTTGTAGACGGAAGATAGAAGAATTGATGCATTTTAAACCTATTCTTACATGAAAAACTGCGGTTTTGTCTCTGTTTTTTCTTCGATTATCTTTGCATTGAAGAATTGAGAGATTTTTTTGTTGTCAACGATTTTTTGGGAAGGGTAAGCAGGAAGTTAGCTTTAAATTATATTTAAATAAGTCGAGTAGGAAGAGGAATACTTGTCGTCGATTTAGTGCAATGAAGTATTTTTCATTTAGGAAAACTGGAAACCTGACGCAATTTGGTGGATTGCACGGCGGTGGATTACATCTGATACACAGAACTTTGCAGAGTTTTTATTTTTTGTTTTAACATTTTCTTTTTTGTCAATGTTGCTGCTGTTTTATCTTGGCGTGGTTTTCTGAAATTGGAAGGAACATTTCTTCATAAAAAAAAAAAGGAAGTGTGTGTATATATATATATGTTTATGTATTTTAACATTATTTTTCTTCCTATTTCCGTTGAGTACATCCCACATGTGTTCTTAACATTACTTCTTAGTGATTTGAATGCGTCTTTTATGTGTCCTTAACATGTCTGGGAATTTTTTTAATAAAAAAAACCAAAAAGTCAACTACTAAAGTTACCCATTCAAACACTTGTTGGAGCATGTGATAACTGAGAGGCATATAATTTGATGCTGATTTTGTTTGTTGACTTGTGGTTGGACCACTATTCTTATCAATTCAATGCTGTTGGTTCTTGTTGCAATTTTGTGGCCTTAAAACGTTGTTTCAGATTCTGAACTTTTAAGTTATTCAAATGGGGATGTTTTGTTTTATGCCAATAGGTTCTCCAAAACGATATTGATTTGCTGAATCCTCCTGCTGAGCTAGAGAAGAGGAAGCACAAGCTCAAGCGCCTTGTGCAATCACCCAACTCCTTCTTCATGGTATTATTGTTGCTTCTATTCAACTCCATGCCATTTTTTAATGATATTCTAGTCAAATTCAGCGCATCTGTTTACTATCCTACAGAGTGTTTCTTGGGGCTCTTCTTGGAAGCATATATATGTATATATTTTTTTGCCTTGATTTATATTATATTCTGACAAGCTTTCCCTTTAATCGTTGCGTACCGTTGATTTGAAGGATGTTAAGTGCCAGGGATGCTTCAACATGTAAGCCCCATCACTTTTCATTACTTTGTTATATTGATAATTCTCGTAGATTCTGTCTGAAGATGTTTTATATTGAAAGTTTCTGATTGTTGTTTTGTGATGAAATGCAGTACCACTGTCTTCAGCCACTCACAAACTGTTGTGGTATGCGGTAACTGCCAGACAGTCTTATGCCAGCCAACTGGTGGGCGCGCTAGACTCACCGAGGGATGTTCGTTCAGGAGAAAGGGTGATTGAAGATGCGGGTCCTTGTTTCTTTTCACTGGGATGAAATGACAGTCTCTGTTTTGATCATGGTATATTTATTTTTCGTGTACGGTACCAGACTTGATTATGCTCTCTCCTAAATTGATTATATTTGGCTTTAGAGATTTCTGGTTTTGTTTAAAAGATGAATTTCATGTACTGAACTTTTAGCAGCATTTAGTAATTCTTAGCTTTCTTTTATCTACCCCATACTTTGTTAAATTTGAGTGGAATAGTTTTGCATCAAAATCCCTTCTTAACCCTCTTAAGTGATTGAATATCCATGTTCTGCTGGGATTACTCTTACCCTCTTCCATTTACTCACTCTAGTCAAGGGTTGTTGTATCGTTATCTTCGAGCTTGAAAGAAAATATCTCAAGGTCACTCACAACTCTTTGGCTTATTGTAATTTGTATTTTACAAGAATGTCATTGGCATTCGTATAAGCAACAAGTGTGGCACGAGGATTTGAGCTTATGAACTGCATGTATTGAGGCTCGATAGAAGGGATAGTCTCGGAGGAAATGATAATATGTTATGATGGTATGTCACAAACTGCATTACACATTCTTATCTTTACAAGCCATAAGAATTAGGGAATGTAATGAGATGGCCATATTGCCTTGATGTTAGAGTGACAATTTGGTACTAAAATGAATTTTTTTTCTGAGATGTGATGAGTATGATAAGAGTTATGACCATGAATCTTTAGTAAACCTATGGTATTTTATGATGCATGTACATAACTTGTGTTATGGTATGGTGACATGATGCTAATCATAATGTTACGCACAGGCTATTTACGAAAGAAAATAGAATGTCCATGAATGGTCAAAACTACGAGAAGTGAAATTTAGAAAAAAAAATGGCGATATGACCCCCTAGTGTTTCGTGACGGTAAGGTTATAATTATGTTTTTAGAAAACTTTGGCGATATAATCACAAATGTTTTGTGACTATTAATATGGTTACAATTTGACGTTAAGAACAATAGATGAAATTTAAGTAAGGGAAGTTTTCAATCACGACATGCTTGTGTTTGCATTTCCGTACCCGAATAGTAGATGCAATTACTGGATATTTTTATGAATCTTTCCAAAAATATTTTTGTAGTTAGGACAATCACATGTATTTTTACTTCGGCTTATTTTGATGTCGTATTACAAACCTTTTAACACGATGACTCTACTAGTTTGTAAAATATTTGTTACCCTTTAAGTATAATTATGTTCATCTTTTTATGTGATGTTTTCTTCGAGATCCTAAATGAAAAATATTTCATGTTTAAGTTTTATTATCTCAGAAGCCTCGGGAAAAATTTATTACTAGTCAAAAGTAGTATCATTACATAATTTTTAAAAAAATGATTTTAAATAGGTTGGGCATCTTCCATTTTAACCCAAAGAATCTTTTAAACAACATTTTCATAATTTTTTAATGAGGTGTGAAAATATATTAATTTCATAAATAATAAATACCCTTTATACATTTTCATAATTTTTTAATGAGGTGTGAAAATATATTAATTTCATAAATAATAAATACCCTTTATTAATAATAAAGGGTATTTTAGTATATATATATATATATATATATATATATATATATATATATGTATATTAATGGTTTTTTTTCATACATATTAATTGTGATGGTCAAATTAGATTGGGTCAAATAATTAATATTAGGTTTGTGAAACTTCCCTTGAGTGAAGGTTATTTTTTCTCTCTTTTTTTTATTTATTATAATATATATATAATGAGAGAGGTGATTTATTCCAACAAAACTTGTATTTAATTAGAAACTCCTTTTAGGTTTTTTACTTTTTTTAAAGTCCTACATGTATTATTTTTTCTATTAATTATAATAATAATGGTAATAGGGGTAGCAATAATATTAATTATAATAATAATAAATAAATTACTGATAGTTTAAAATTTATTACCGAGGAAGCTCTTATTTTACTCCACCCGACAATCAATATGAATGCTACATTTGTATCTCTCTATTTTTGTTATTATTATGACGCTCGAGCCTAAGAAAATAGAGACAACACGAGAATGATCCTAATCAAATGAAATTAGGATTATGAGAGGTTTAAAATAATTGATATTTATTATAGGAAATTCATCCTTTTATATTAGGAGATATCTTTAATAATTTTTTTAGAAAACGTGTACTCAAAACATGCTAAAATGATCTGGGTCGTTCCTATCATCCGACTTAATCTTAGACTAAATTACTAATCTACTCTTTACATTTCCGATACGCTTAGAATTTATTTTTGGTTTGTCTCACTATATCCTTAAATTGTTTTTTCACGCTCCCGAGAATTTTACTTCATTTTTTTTTATTTAGTCGTAAACCCTAACACATGGACGAACACATTAGCTAAATATAAAATATCCCTAAAAATGTTTATATAGTCATGAAATGGAAAGTTAGTAAAGTTTGACTAAATAACAGCTTAGTCTAAATTATAGACATTAATTGAAAATTATATAAAGGTAAATAAATTATTAATGGCATGATTTATAACAGCTGCTTTGGTATTAATTGGCTAATAGTTATTAAATAGTTAGCTAAAAAAAAAAACTCAATTTAATTTAATTTAATTTTGAGCTATAAATTAAATCGGGACCTGGGATGATCTCAATTTAGAAAGAAAAACAAAATGATTTCAAACGGTACGATATGGAGCTCTCGAGCGTTGTCGTTTTACAAGAATGTTCCTCTTGTCAACAACGTGAACTCAAATTTTCTTTTCGGAAATTCTCTAGCCAACCCCTTTAAAGCTCGTTTGGTAATGTTTTTCATTTCAGTCGTTAATGTAAAACATTTGAAGAGAGTGTTTTTTTAATCGTTCGTTTATTTACAGCTGTACTCGTGGATTAGCTTCTTTTTTTTTTTTTTGGAAATTAATTTAGCATTTGAAAGTCCACAAAGCTCGTTTGGAAATTGCATCGTGTGAATCGAAACGGGAGAAGGAGTTGAATCATAATCAAGAAAAGGCTGATATAACCATCGATAATATCGACGTTGAGGTAAACTCCTCTATTAATTTTAGTGTAACGACCCGACTTTCTTGACTAAAAATGAACTTAAATATTCCAAACGCCGTCGTTTTGCAGGAGTATCTGGGAGAAGATGAAATTGTCTTTCCATCTCAGGAATTTTCTCAACAAGCACATATTCCTACCACTCAAAAGGTCCTCTCTTAATTACAATTATTTTCTCTTTTATTATAATAATAATAATAATTATTATTTATTTATTTGGAAAATACTTAAATATTATTAATTTAATTTTGGAATTAAGTATTTGGATATGTACAAAAAATCCATTGAAGAACCTTCAGAATTTTGGTCTGAAATTGCATCATCTGAGTTCTATTGGACAAAGGAATGGAATCATCACCAACCCTTCTCTCACAATCTTCATATTTCCCAAGGCAATATTAATATAGAGGTAACCCTTCTAAATTCTCTTTTTTTTTTTTCTTTTTTTTTTTAATATATATATTTTTTATTTATTTAATAAATTTGAATTTGTTCGGCATGTTCTTGAACTAAGAATAACAATAATACTCGTTGATAACACTCGGGATTCAATATAATATTATTGAACACCATCTGAACATGTGATGTCCCCTATTGGTGAGGGAGGAGAACAAAACACCCTTTATAACTGTGTGGAAACCTTCCCACCAGTAGACATGTTTTAAAATCATGGGAAAGTCAAGAGAACAATATCTGATAACGGTGTGCTTGGGTCGTTACAAATGGTATTAGAGCCAGACATCGAACGATGTGCAAGTCTTCTTGTTGTCTCCCGAAGGTGGGTAGACACGAGGCGGTGTGCCAGTAAGGACGTTGGGCTCTAAAGGGGGGTGGATTTGGTGGGGTCCCATTAGAGAAAGAAACGAGCGTCAGCGAGGAGGCTGGGTGTTGAAAGGGGATGGATTGTGATGTCCCACATTGGTTGGGAGGAGAACAAAACACTCTTTACAAGGGTGTGGTGGAAACGTTCTACTAGTAGACGCGTTTTAAAACCTTGAGTCGTTACAGAACGATCTTTTAAATTTGGACCGACTTTTGGTATCACCAAAAATACATACTCGATAGCTAAAAAACATGGAATACGAACGAAATGCATATTTAAATCTCGATTTTTTATTTTTTGGAGCAGTGGTTCAAGGGTGGGATTACAAATATTTGCTACAATTGCATAGATAGGAACATAGAAGGTGGATTGGGAGACAAAATTGCAATGTATTGGGAAGGAAATGAGCCTGCTTTTGATGCTTCTTTAACCTACACCCACCTCCTTCACCAAGTTTCCCAAGTAATTCTCTATCTTTATTTATTTATTTATTTATTTATTATTATTATTTTCATTTTTTTCTTATCTTTTTTAGGAAAAAAAAATAGTTAAATAACTTTTCTTTTTTTAAAATAATTTTTTATTTTAATAAATTTCAAATGATAAATTTAATGAATTTTTTATTTTCATAATTAAATTTTAATAAATCGCAAGTGATTTTAGATCTTTAAAAACATTTTTTATTTTAATAATTTTTAATAAATAAAAAGGGTTTAATTTAAATTTTATTTTTATTTAGAGATGTTTTTAAAATTCAAGCAAAATTTTGAAAATTATATACAAATAATATTTTTAGTAATTTTATTTTTAAAATTTACCTAAAATTTTCAAATATTTATTTATGAAAAAAAAAACATTATTTTTAAGTAAACAAAAAACAAAAAATATTATTAAACGGGACTTATTTATTTATTTATTATTATTATTGTGGTTAGTCTGTGATTATTGTATATTTTGTAACAATTTAAAATTGTAATTAGGTTGCTAATTTTTTGAAAGACATTGGAGTAAAAAAGGGAGACACTGTCCTGATTTACTTGCCAATGATTATGGAACTTCCCATTGCAATGCTAGCTTGTGCTCGCATAGGTGCCGTCCACTCGGTACATTCACTATCTGTTTCACGTCTTTTACGTCTCTAAATTTTAGTATTTAATATTTTAGACTTGATAATTTTTAATTTATAACAATTTAATATATACCATAAAAAATTTATCAAAATTAAACGCGGTTTTTAAAAAAAAAAAATGTGACGGGCTCACTCAATAGAAGTGTAGGATATAAGTAAAGAGAATCGAATAATAGATTCAATATGTCCTTTAGACAGAAATATTTAGGATCCCTTGAGACTAGCAGCGAACTGGGTGGGAAATCTCGGTTTAAACGAGGAATTAGGGAAGGAACAGTAAGAGATTTCTCCATGTTGGCTAAATGGAGACAAAGACATTATAAAAATTTGAAAAAATTCCCTAGTAGGGAACTTGATTCCCGTAAATTCTCCATGAAAATTCCCGCCCTGATTCTCACGAAAATAAATGGTGAATTTCGTGGGGACGATGATTGGAATAGGAAGCAGAGACAAGAACGACAAGGCTTCCCTGTTCCGTCCCACCTTGTGGACATCTCTATCAATACTTGACTCAACTCCGTTCTTTCTCTAACTCGACTAGCTGCTCCTTCCTAATCTAATCAAGTTCATACCGGTTGCACAGCTAAACAATTTCATAACTTAAACTTTACTTAACCAACTAACCGTACATTTACGTCCATTCATTTCATGTCATTCTCTCGTTCAAGTTTAATTATATATATATATATAAATTTATAATATATAGTTGGAAAATCATATGGATATTAATTAATGATATTATTTGGCGTATAATATAAGGTTGTATTTGCTGGATTTTCTTGTGAATCACTTGCTCAAAGAATAAATGATTGCAAACCAAAAGCTTTGGTCACTTGTAATGCTGCAAAAAGAGGTTCCAAAATCATCCATCTTAAGGACATTGTCGATGCTGCCCTCATCCAATCAGCTAAAGATGCCCATTCTATTGGTATTCTGAATTTATTTTTTTATTTTTTTATTTTTTTTATTTTTTTATTAACCCATTAAAAAAAAATTTTAATTTAAATAATATTTTTAAAATTTTGTTGGACAGATTCGTGTTTGGTTTATGAAAACAAATCAGCTTTGGATAAAGAAAGCACTCCATGGAAAGAAGGCAGAGACTTATGGTGGCAGGTTTTATTTATTTATTTATTTCCTTTTTTCCTTTTATTATAAATAGAAATATATTTTAAAATTCGAATTTATTTCATAGTTAATTCACTAATTATTTTTTAATTCTTATTATTATTATTATTATTATAGGGTTTAGGGTTTTTTTTCTTAAAAAAATCCCCTTAAATTTTTATTTTAGAAAAAAAAAACTTAATTTTGAGTTAATTCACTAATTTTTAATTTTATTATTTATAATTTATTTCATAGTTGATTCACTAATTGTTTTTTAATTATTATTATTATTATTATTATAGGGTTTAGGGTTTGTATTTTTTTTTTCTTAGAAAAAATCCCCTTAAATTTTTAATTTTTAAAAAAATCTTAATTTTGAGTTAATTCACTAATTTTTAATTTTATTATTTATAATTTATTTCATAGTTGATTCACTAATTGTTTTTTAATTATTATTATTATTATTATAGGGTTTAGGGTTTGTATTTTTTTTTTCTTAGAAAAAATCCCCTTAAATTTTTAATTTTTAAAAAAATCTTAATTTTGAGTTAATTCACTAATTTTTAATTTTATTATTTATAATTTATTTCATAGTTGATTCACTAATTGTTTTTTAATTATTATTATTATTATTATAGGGTTTAGGGTTTGTATTTTTTTTTTCTTAGAAAAAATCCCCTTAAATTTTTAATTTTTAAAAAAATCTTAATTTTGAGTTAATTCACTAATTTTTAATTTTTAATTTTATTATTTATAATTTATTTCATAGTTGATTCACTAATTGTTTTTTAATTATTATTATTATTATTATAGGGTTTAGGGTTTGTATTTTTTTTTTCTTAGAAAAAATCCCCTTAAATTTTTAATTTTTAAAAAAATCTTAATTTTGAGTTAATTCACTAATTTTTAATTTTATTATTTATAATTTATTTCATAGTTGATTCACTAATTGTTTTTTAATTATTATTATTATTATTATAGGGTTTAGGGTTTGTATTTTTTTTTTCTTAGAAAAAATCCCCTTAAATTTTTAATTTTTAAAAAAATCTTAATTTTGAGTTAATTCACTAATTTTTAATTTTATTATTTATAATTTATTTCATAGTTGATTCACTAATTGTTTTTTAATTATTATTATTATTATTATAGGGTTTAGGGTTTGTATTTTTTTTTTCTTAGAAAAAATCCCCTTAAATTTTTAATTTTTAAAAAAATCTTAATTTTGAGTTAATTCACTAATTTTTAATTTTATTATTTATAATTTATTTCATAGTTGATTCACTAATTGTTTTTTAATTATTATTATTATTATTATAGGGTTTAGGGTTTGTATTTTTTTTTTCTTAGAAAAAATCCCCTTAAATTTTTAATTTTTAAAAAAATCTTAATTTTGAGTTAATTCACTAATTTTTAATTTTATTATTTATAATTTATTTCATAGTTGATTCACTAATTGTTTTTTAATTATTATTATTATTATTATAGGGTTTAGGGTTTGTATTTTTTTTTTCTTAGAAAAAATCCCCTTAAATTTTTAATTTTTAAAAAAATCTTAATTTTGAGTTAATTCACTAATTTTTAATTTTATTATTTATAATTTATTTCATAGTTGATTCACTAATTGTTTTTTAATTATTATTATTATTATTATAGGGTTTAGGGTTTGTATTTTTTTTTTCTTAGAAAAAATCCCCTTAAATTTTTAATTTTTAAAAAAATCTTAATTTTGAGTTAATTCACTAATTTTTAATTTTATTATTTATAATTTATTTCATAGTTGATTCACTAATTGTTTTTTAATTATTATTATTATTATTATAGGGTTTAGGGTTTGTATTTTTTTTTTCTTAGAAAAAATCCCCTTAAATTTTTAATTTTTAAAAAAATCTTAATTTTGAGTTAATTCACTAATTTTTAATTTTATTATTTATAATTTATTTCATAGTTGATTCACTAATTGTTTTTTAATTATTATTATTATTATTATAGGGTTTAGGGTTTGTATTTTTTTTTTCTTAGAAAAAATCCCCTTAAATTTTTAATTTTTAAAAAAATCTTAATTTTGAGTTAATTCACTAATTTTTAATTTTATTATTTATAATTTATTTCATAGTTGATTCACTAATTGTTTTTTAATTATTATTATTATTATTATAGGGTTTAGGGTTTGTATTTTTTTTTTCTTAGAAAAAATCCCCTTAAATTTTTAATTTTTAAAAAAATCTTAATTTTGAGTTAATTCACTAATTTTTAATTTTATTATTTATAATTTATTTCATAGTTGATTCACTAATTGTTTTTTAATTATTATTATTATTATTATAGGGTTTAGGGTTTGTATTTTTTTTTTCTTAGAAAAAATCCCCTTAAATTTTTAATTTTTAAAAAAATCTTAATTTTGAGTTAATTCACTAATTTTTAATTTTATTATTTATAATTTATTTCATAGTTGATTCACTAATTGTTTTTTAATTATTATTATTATTATTATTATAGGGTTTAGGGTTTGTATTTTTTTTTTCTTAGAAAAAATCCCCTTAAATTTTTAATTTTTAAAAAAATCTTAATTTTGAGTTAATTCACTAATTTTTAATTTTTAATTTTATTATTTATAATTTATTTCATAGTTAATTCACTAATTTTTAATTTTTAATTTTATTATTTATAATTTATTTCATAGTTAATTCACTAATTATTTTTTAATTTCTATTATTATTATTATTTTAGGGTCTAGGATTTTTTTTCCTTAAAAAAATCCCCTTAAATTTTTAATTAAAAAAAAACTTAATTTTGAGTTAATTCACTAATTTTTAATTTTATTATTTATAATTTATTTCATAGTTGATTCACTAATTGTTTTTTAATTATTATTATTATTATTATTATAGGGTTTAGGGTTTGTATTTTTTTTCTTAGAAAAAATCCCCTTAAATTTTTAATTTTTAAAAAAATCTTAATTTTGAGTTAATTCACTAATTTTTAATTTTTAATTTTATTATTTATAATTTATTTCATAGTTGATTCACTAATTGTTTTTTAATTATTATTATTATTATTATTATAGGGTTTAGGGTTTGTATTTTTTTTCTTAGAAAAAATCCCCTTAAATTTTTAATTTTTAAAAAAATCTTAATTTTGAGTTAATTTTTTTTTTCTTAGAAAAAATCCCCTTAAATTTTTAATTTTTAAAAAAATCTTAATTTTGAGTTAATTCACTAATTTTTAATTTTTAATTTTATTATTTATAATTTATTTCATAGTTAATAATTTTGAGTTAATTCACTAATTTTTAATTTTTAATTTTATTATTTATAATTTATTTCATAGTTAATTCACTAATTATTTTTTAATTTCTATTATTATTATTATTTTAGGGTCTAGGATTTTTTTTTCCTTAAAAAAATCCCCTTAAATTTTTAATTAAAAAAAACTTAATTTTGAGTTAATTCACTCATTTTTTATTTTTTATTTTATTATTTATAATTTATTTCATGGTTAATTCACTAATTATTATTATTATAATGATTATTACAGGGTTTAGGGTTTGGGAAAAAAAATCCCCTTCAATTTTTAATTTAAAAAAAAAAACTTAATTTTGAGTTAATTCACTGATTTTTAATTTTATTATTATTATTTTAGGATGTGATTCCTAAATATTCAAAGAGTTGTGACGTGGAATGGGTTGATGCTGAGGATCCACTATTTTTGCTTTACACAAGTGGGAGTGTTGGAAAGCCTAAGGTATTTAATTTTTCTTACCCTTTTTTAATTTATTATTATAAATAAGGTCGGAGAAATCTTTTGAACCGATTCAAAATTTTGGGTTGATTGAGTTAGTGACTCGAATAATCGGAATAAAATTCACAACTGAACCCAACCCAACTCTCTATTTTCAAATTGTCGAGTTGTTTATTTTTTTTTTAATTATTTAAAAAAATTTGACTTGTCTACCGTACATGTTACCGTAATAACTAAAATCTCATAAAACTCAAATATCAAATATTCACAAGTTACAACACATCACTAACATTGGTTACATATATCAAATATTCTTAATATTCGTAATAATTTTAAAAGTACATATACTTGGATTGGTTTGGGTTTTAACCTTATTTTTAAATTAGTCAGGTTGACCCGATAAGACAAATGTCAACCCACAAACAAATCAAATTTTTTTATTAGATAGTTTAGATTAGTCAGGTTCTTGGATCATATGAAAACTCCTATATATTTTAACCATTTTTTTTTAAGTATTAATATTTAATTATTTAATTTTATATATGAATTAGGGAGTCGTTCATACAACAGGTGGATACATGGTGTACGTCGGTACTACTTTCAAATATGTTTTCGACTATAAACCTTCTGATATTTACTGGTGAGTATCATCGTATCCCTAAAATTTAAATTTTATATTTTATTCCTTTAAAATATTTTATTTTAGTCTATCGAATTTAAATACGAGGTATAATTATGAAATAATATATAATTAAATTAAATATTTTTTCACTAAAATAATTTTTTTTAAGGTCCACGGCTGATTGTGGTTGGGCTGCGGGGCACGGCTATGTGACGTACGGACCATTGCTTAATGGAGCCACTGTCGTTATTTATGAAGGGGTAATTACGTAATTAAAAATGTCTGCAAAATTATATTTTAAATAAAAATTTAGGGACTAAAAAAATGATATTTATTTAATGGGTGTAGGTTCCAAATTATCCAAATTCAGGGAGGTGTTGGGAAATAGTGGATAAATATAAGGTCTCCATTTTCTTCACTGCTCCCACTTTGCTGCGTTCTCTCATGCGTGATGGGGACAAGGTAATTTCCTTTATTTATTTATTTTTAAGAAAAAGAAAAAAGAGAAGGGTAATATTGTAATTTCTAAGATCGGCACTAATGCAGCATGTTAAGCGTTACTCTCGAAAATCTCTACGGGTGCTTGGAAGTGCAGGCGAGCCGATTAATCCAGCTACATGGAGGTACGTAAATTTATTTATTTTTAATATAATAATTACAGAGACGGAGATTGAAAGATAGTACATGTCAATTACTGTTATGTTATAATATATTTGTAATGTAATATTCATTGAATTGAATTGGATGTACAGGTGGTTTTACGAGGTGGTGGGTGACTCACGGTGTCCTATTTCGGACACGTGGTGGCAAACCGAGACGGGTGCCGCTATGGTAATTATTTTATTTATTTATTTTTGAGTTAATTGCATATTTAATTATTAATTAATTAAAAATAATATATGGTTTATGGATGTAGATTACTCCAATTCCAGGGGCATGGCCACTGAAGCCTGGTTCTGCTACTTTCCCATTCTTTGGAGTTCAGGTTCTCACCTAAAACGACACCGTTTTGTCATTTCCATTTTTTTTTAAAAGAGAAGTTGCAAATTAATAATTTTTTAAAAAATTATTATTATTTTATAATAAAAGGAAAGGATATTACCTAATGACACAATATATTTGTGATATACCGATGATATACATTGATATCTTAGACGAAACCCGATTCGAACCAAACCGACCTACTTACATGTCGATGCAGGCCGTGATCGTGGATGAAGAAGGGAATGAAATAGAAGGAGAAGGCAAAGGGTATTTATGTATAAAAGGGTCATGGCCAGGGGCATTAAGGACACTTTACCGAGATCATGACAGATATGAAACCACATATTTCAAGCCATTTCCTGGATATTATTTCACTGGTGATGGTTGTACAAGGTAATTTTTACATAAATACCCTTTTGTATTATTATTATTATTATTTCTGTTGTTTTGGTTTAGATAGTAATTTTGTATCTTAATCTTGGTGTTATTGTGTTCGACATTCAGAGATAAAGACGGATATTTTTGGATTACTGGAAGAGTCGATGATGTTCTTAATGTTAGGTACGTATATTTCATTTCTTAGATCGAAAAATATTATATTTTATATTCTCTCGTTAAAAAAATAACATTTTTTCAAAAATATAATACTAACAGTAAGCGTATTTTTTAATTTCTTAAAGAATTTAAGAGTTATTAATGAAAGGTTACGAGTATTTTTTAAACACTATGGAATGTTTTAACGATTTTCATCGAGTTTTTTTAAAAAGTTTAACGATATTTTTTAAACCAAATATAAAATTTAAGGACATTAAATAGAGACTATGTTCTAAAAACTTAACATTATGCAGCGGACATCGAATCGGGACAGCAGAAGTGGAATCTGCGTTAGTTTCACACCCTCATTGTGCAGAAGCAGCAGTGATCGGCATCGATCACGAGGTCAGAGAAAACTATAGTTAGTTCTCTACTTCGTTCTTGATTGTCAAATCAAAATTTAAAGACTAAAGTTGATAGTTTGTTTAGGTTAAAGGCCAGAGCATTTGGGCATTTGTTACGCTCGTAGAGGGAGTTCCTCAAAGTGAAGAGCTCCGAGAGAGCCTAATACAAACCATTCGAACACAGGTTCGTTCGTGATCGTTTTCATAAATACGAACTTTTTAAAAACGACCGTAAAATGAACGAAAAATTTTGTTGTCACACTTTTAGATTGGAGCGTTTGCAGCACCTGATAAGATCCATTACACAAATGAGCTCCCAAAAACAAGGAGTGGAAAGATAATGAGAAGAGTTCTGAGAAAGATTGCCTCCAAGCAATTGGATGAGATTGGAGATACCTCAACGCTTGCAGACCCTGTTGTCTTGGATCAACTTATTGCACTCGTTCATTCTTGAGTGACCCGTCAATAAAAATGACTTCGAAAAAAGCTCGATCTGATTTTCTTGTATAAATCTTTCGGCTAGGTGGTTTTATTCATGGACTTAAACGTTCACAAAACTCTTTTAAAAAAATGTATACGTCATGATCTGACCTAAGGGTTACAATTTAAATGAAGAGTACGACTACTCTGATGGCACGTATAGGGATGTCGGTATCATTTTGGCTAGAGTATTTAAAACTAGTCAATAAGTACTATTTTATGTATGTGTATGTGTGTTGTTGGAAGAAAGTCCCACATCGATTAATTTAGGGAATGATCATGGGTTTTTACTTGTCCAGGCTACGCATGAGTTTTGGCATCAGTGATGACATTGAACTACGAACTATGAAGTTGCATGGTCGAAGCTTGACAGCTCGAGAGAGCTCAATTTTCTGTTTTTTCTTGAATATGATTGTTTATAGGTCATCCGTCTTCTAAACTGCAACATATCGTTGTTGATGACTATAACAGTCCAAGTCCATTATAGGTCACCCGACTTCTAAACTGCAACATATCGTTGTTGACCCGACTTCTAAACTGCAACATATCGTTGTTGATGACTATAACAATCTAAGTCCATCCTTAGCTAGCAGATATTTTGGGTTTTCCCTTTACGAGTTTCTCCTCAATGTTTTTAAAATGCGTATGCTTGTGAGAGATTTCACACTCTTATAAGAAATGTTTCGTTCTCCTCTCCAACCAACGTGGAATCTCACAATGACTGAGTTTCATCGTGCACGAGCTAACTCACCCAACCAAAATTCAAAATTCAAAACCCTAGGATGAAATTTGTAGTTATTCTTTTCTTTGATTCTACGTCGAGAATTAGGGCACAGGATGGGAGGAGGAAGAACGTGAGGCTGAACGGAGGAACGTAGACTACGAACAGGGTACGAATCATCTCTCTCGATCAATCCGTTTCTTGAATTTGTGATTGCTCGTTCAATAGGTTCGAATTAATATATTGGAAGAATGACTGGCGTCCAAGAGATAATGCCGAAGAAAGCGAAGGCTACAATGATCGAGACCTTGATGAAGAACCAACCAAACACTTTCAGATCCATCTTTCAGCGCAAGAAATCGAAGAATGATGAAGATTCATCCCCTACCGATTCTCCTAAATCCATCCCTGAACTCTCTCCCTTCGCAAATTCTGTTGTCGCTCGTTGCTCCAAGTATTTCTCCTCATTTTTTCCAGTTGTCTTCATTTTTGTATTCGTCACTTCTTCTGTTTGCTGTTATCGTGTGTATTTTTGCTCGAATTCGCATGAATTGTAGTGTTGACGCAAAAGGCTTTGTCTTACTATATCTACTGGTATTTTTTACTTCAAACTTTGGTTAGGTTACGACCTGCTACCTGATACTGTGACTGTTAGTGATGTGCGACGATAGAATGGTGTCATGCTGGTGAAATTGTTAAGTAAAATTGTTCAAATGCGTGATTTAATGACTGATTCTTTAGTACTGTGGAAGAACTTGTGTGTCCACAATCAATCACTTCACTCATGCTCCATGGACACTAATGCGAGTATAGTGCAATGCCCGTCAATCTAAATTAAGCATATCTATCAAACTAATCACCTCCTATTATTCTTTCCTGACTTATTAAACCAAAATAGTGTGTTCATTTTTCCCTCTCTAAAAATCTTGTTCATTTATTGTTGCATTATTGCACGAAATCTAGTTTCGTTTCCATTTGAAATTTATATTGCAGTTGGTTAACATGCTTTGTTTTAGAGCAACAAAAAAGAGTTTATCTTTCCTTCGTAAATAGCCTATAATTTTGTAAAGAATTTACTTCACAAATTTTTACCCTGAGGATTTCACTACTTTAAGTGCCTTTAAGGATATGTTCATATGTCATATTGAAGGCATCGTTTGGATTTGGCATTTATAGTGCAATCCATTGTACTGGACATTTGCTTCAGCTTTTATAACATTGTCGTTTCATGCATCTAAAGGCTAAGGCATTTCTATAATGCAGGATTCTTCAAATTTCCACTGAAGAAATGCAACAACTTTTTGATTCAGAGTTACCTGGAATTAACAAGGAACCCGAAACTTATTCGAGAAGTTTGTTGGAATTTTGCTCATACCAAACATTGTATTCAATGAGTAAACGTCCAGATTATTTAAGCAACAAGGATTTCCGTCGCTTGGCATATGACATCATGCTTGCTTGGGAGTGCCCTGGTAGTGAAAGCGAACCACTACCGCAAGTGAGACAGTCTACCATTATACTCCGTTGATATTTAGTAAGATAGAGTCAGATTATCACTTAAATGCATCTTCTTTTTTCTTGTGGGGATGGGGATGGATTGTGGAGGGGTTGAATTTGGATAATTTAGTTCCCATTTGATAACCATTTTGTTTTAGTTTTATGTTTTTGAAAATTAAGCTTTTTTCATCACAAATTTTTTTTATAAGCATTTCACCTTCCTTAAAAACACATTTAAATTTAAGTCAAATTTAAAAAAACAAAATTGAATTTTTAAACACTATGTTTTCTAGTTTTCAAAATTTCGCTTGGTTTTTTAAAACGTTTTCAAAATATAGGTAATAGAGCAGGAAAACTATTGGTAAAAGTAGTGTTTATAAGCTGAACTTGTAAAAATGGAAAACTAAAAATTAAATAGTTATCAAACATGGCCTTAACTTTTAGTTTTTTATTGTTCATTTACAAAAATAGTACAAAAAGAGGGAGAGAAGGAATTGATTGTGTTTCTAAATCCTCTTTCCAACTGTAGGAAACTGCTTCTTGCAGTAATGAGGAAGTAGAGGATAAGGAAGAGTGGTCACTATTTTATTCGAATTCTACAAACATGGCTGTTCAGGTTAATAATTTTCTGGTTTTCTTATCTGCAACTTGATAGGCACATTATGTTATCTTATGTCTAGGATGGGTACCTTTGAACCATTTTTCTTTTATCTTTTTAATTTATCTTTTTTTTCTTTTTTGCTAGCATTGACTAAGCTTCTGAGATACTAGTTTTTAAAACTTTTATATTATGGTGATCAGTTTGATGACAAGAAAACTGTTGGACCAGAAGCTTTTGCACGGATAGCTCCTGCATGCACTGCTCTTGCAGATATCATAACTGTTCACAATCTTTTTGATTCACTTACGAGTTCTTCAGGTCGTCGACTCCATTATCTTGTCTTCGACAAATATATAAGAAGTCTTGACAAGTAAGAATTTGCTTCGTTAGCGATGACAATTGTGTGATCTTTATTAATGTGTTTGAAATTGTTTCTTCAAATTTTATATGTTTAATTATGTAAGCTGTTAAATGTGTGTTTTTACAGTTTTTTGTTCTTCTCAAAACAGAAAATGAAATGGTTATCAAACAACACCTTAATTTTTAGGATCTTGTATTTGGAAGCTTGTTCTTCCCATACTAGTCTTTTGTTTTTTTAGTGAAAGTGGATTTTGATTTAGTTTTGGATTCAAAGTGTTTGGTTCAATAAAGTATTGTTTGATTTGCTTTAGTTCATTAGTTCATGCTTCTGCAGCGTTGTTAGAATGATTATCTCTTAATGCACAGGCTATTAGATTCAAGCTTGTGTGAAGTTTATGATAATTTCACCTTGTAACAGAAACATGTTGCAACTATTGCAATATGTTTAATTTTTTTAAGCAGTCAATTTCAAATGGTTAATGAAGAAGTCTAACGATGGGACCTATTTGTTTCTGGATCGTGAACTTTTCTGTTCCAGAATAGATTAGTTTGTGGACTAGCGTCACTGTTAGAGAAAATTTATTACGATGTATGTTTTGCAGGATTATTAAGGCAACTAAAAATGCATTGCACCCATCAACTGGAAATCTTCATCTTTCTGAAGGAGAAATTGTCCTTGAAGTTGATGGTACAGTACCCACTCAACCAGTTCTTCAGCATATTGGGATTTCTGCTTGGCCTGGTGAGCATTGTTCCTAGAAATGTAATCCAAGATTGATAGATTGAATTACCTCAGTTTAGATATTGAAGATTGGAATTTACGATCCAAGTTTCCTTCTCTCGACTGTAGTTTTTCAACCATTAAAAGGTTCCTTCCTTTTCTGCTCAAATATAGATGACGCAAGTTCCATAAGTTATATATGTTTATTGACTAGGAAGGGGGAATAATTTTCTCGTTGGGGATTTTATCTCATGTAGGTTGCATATTATGAGCTTCTTTTATGGATTATGAATTTTAGAAGTTTTAGTGTAGAATTGTGTTCTTTGCTATTTGATTAGTAAACGACTCAAGGGTTGGTGCTTTGAAATTGGAGGAGAAATAATGTTGTTTGGTTAACTCTTTTTCAGTCTTTTGTGTTTTTTATTCCTTTTACAGTGGGTTACCTTTGTTTACCGTAGGATTAGTTGTTTTGGCCTTGTCTTTGATCAGCCCATGCAAAGGCTACTCTTTATGCATATGGGAACCTTTGTTGTTTATGGATTCATTCAGCTAATAAAGACATCCAGCTTTTTGGTTACGTTGTATTTGGTATAAGAGATCCAAGATCCTTGGACTTGGGGCTGCCAAGAAGTCAATTGCTCCATTGGGTGTAGACAACACCAGTGGTAGCTGTCGGATGATGGAAGTCCCACATTGGCTAATTTAGGGAATGATCATGGGTTTATAAGTGAGAAATACGAAATACTAACTTCATTGGAATGAGGCCTTTTGGGGAAGCCCAAAGCAAAGCCATGAGAGCTTATGCTCAAAGTGGACAATATCATACCATTGTGGAGATTCGTGTTCGTCTAACGTGGTATCAGAGCCAAGGTTTATTTTTTAAATGTCTACCATGTCTTCTTCCTCCTCTCCATCCACCATCTCCAACACCGTCTCAACTACCATGGCGACTTTTGGCCCAATCCCTCTACACCATGCTGTCACAATTCGTCTAACCAAAAACAACTTCATCATATGGCGTGCCCAGCTCCTCCCCTACCTACGGAGTACGAAGCTTATGGGCTACCTCGATGGCACCAATGCCGCACCTGCCAAGCTGGTCCCTTCCTCAACTGCTGCTGGTGCTGAGCTGGATTGTCTCTAATCCGGCCTATAATCAATGGTATGATCAGGATCAACAGGTCCTTAGCGGCCTTCTCTCCTCCATGTCTGAGGAGATTCTTCATGATATGGTTGCCGCTACTACGTCCAAGGAGGCGTGGGATACCCTGCAGCGGATGTTTTCATCGTCAACTCGTGCTCGCACTACTCAGATTCGTGTTGAGCTCGCCACATCCAAGAAACGAGATCAATC